TCCTGTGGTGACTAGGTGGAGATGTTTTCAAAGAAATTCCAGAAACTCAGTAGATAGATTCACTGATACTGCAAAATTGAATCCTGGACTGTGTTTTTTTTCCTTGCTGTTGAGGAACAACTAAATTAGGACTAAGTCACTAAGTAACAGCTAAGCTAGGAACTGAAGTTTTGGAAAGCACATGAATGTATCCATTCCCAGATGTGGCAACTGACTATTAGCCACTAGATACAGTCATTTTCTACACTGTTTTCAAGGTACCTCATATTACAATATACAGCCAAATAAGGCTGGATATACCCAATCACATCGATTTTGTAAAGTGAAAACAAAAGGCACTGCACTGCACTGTACAGAAAGCTACAATAGCCCCCAAAAGATCTCATCTTACAGGTTATCTTATCCTGAAACAGAAAGACGGGGTCCTATTATAATCAAAAGGGACCCCTGGGTAATTCTGCTTGTGGGACATAATACAGTTACTCCTTCATCTGAGAACTGGGCTTAAAGATTTGTCACTGTTATGAAAGCATCATACTGGAAGCATCTGTTTCACACCAAGAACGTGTATATACATTTATCAACAAGAGGAGGAAACTGAAGTATATAAAACTCTGCAAACCTTTTACGTCTCTTTCAAATTGGAAAAACTGTACAAGCTTGCGATTTTGAGACTTTTAGTGGCCATGTAAATATTAGCTACAAACCAGAGGACCCAGGGTAAGCGTTAAGATCACGATGATTTCCTGACACCTGACAAGACAGCATCCTTCTGGTCATCCAGAAGCTAAATGAAATCTGGGATCTTCACTTAACATACTTGAAATACTAACCCCTCTGCATTAGACCTAGGGTTAGATAATTTGGCCTCATCTCAGATAGTTACCCCTGAAGTTGGAAAGGAAGATGACTCTCTCACAAATGGCAGATGGGGGGGGGACTTCTTCGGGGTGTCAGGTATACCAGAAATACATAACTTAGTCAAAAGCAACTTGGCTAAGCTTCTGTATGAAAGATCTTCGAGGACGCAGCTGAATGGCCAGCGGGGAAAGATACANACAGTGAGGACACAGAACCGGTACAAGCTCTCTTTCAGCACAGCCCTTGAATGAGCATGGGTAAGATGAATGCGCATCTGGCTTCGGTTTCTCGTTGATTACAGTCACCTGGAAATGCCAAAAGGGGCAAGTGACATATCTCACATGTAAAGCAAATCAAATCTATTTTGGAAGGCAGCACTCACATTATTTTTGTTTAAACTTATAAGAGCAACTTACACACTCTCACAATCAATTATATTGGGTTGTCAGAAAAATCATGATGCATTTTTGCAACGAAAAACATAGAAAAATTCTGTCATGACTTTTCCGACAATCCAGTGATAAATATTTGTATGAGAAATGATTGCTGTGTTGACTATTCTATAGTTTCATAATATTCCTACTGTAGTGTATTTATCTTCTAAGTCAAGTTAAAATGACTATTCAGTTTCTTTATAATTTTAGTCTTCTACTTTGTAACAGCCCCAAAGATACCCCCATGATAATATGCTCAGGTAATCATCTCATCAACCCTCATATGGCAAATCATGCCCACTCTCTACAGCAATTTTAAGTGGTTAAATATATAACTGAATACTTAACAATTACATGTTTATCCATGATACAGAGGGTTAAAGACAGTTTTCATAATGATATGTTCTGACCAAAGCTCCTTTAACCTCAGTTTTCTATAACTGATATAAAAATCCTTGGTAAAATGCTCAGTAAATGGAGGGCAGGAACAAATACCCACTGAAAAGTGTGAGACAAATGCTTCTCCAAAGGAGTGAATTCAGTTTAACTTCCTGCCTCTCTCTGACTCAAGAGAGGTGGAGCAATTTATCTGTCAAATTTGAGAAAATTACTTAGACATGGTGGCCTTAGCTTTCTGTTGTTTCCTCTTGGAACTGAACTTGGGATTCAAGAGGAGGCCTAACCTGGCCTGGCACTCCTGTGACTGGTGGGCAAACCTGCCCAATTCCTGCCTTCCTTTGTGGACTCACCTGGCTCTACACTAAAAGCTTCATCACTCACTTTATCCTTTATCCCTAATAAAGATGATATTTTGGCTTCTGTCTGCCATCCCTTTTCTTAATCTATTTGGTCAGAATGAGAATGGGGGTTCTGTTGGTTTCTTCCTGGTGGTCTAACTGAGTAAGAACAATTTATTACCACAGAATCTAACACCAGGCCCCACTGGAAAGGAATACAAGAGTGCAGGGAATGACGGAAGCTATGAGAGGACGTTAACTTCATTGCAGATTTATAAATGTAAATCTGTAAGTGGGCCGCCTAAACAGAACTCAACTGTACAGAAAGGAGAATTGTAAGAATAAGAACGTATAAATACCAAGTAGACCAATTTTTCTTTAAAGAAGAGAAACATACCATAAATGAAGTAAGAGCCTCTGCATAATTAGTTTAGTAGGACAAATAATAATCTGCGGTACACTGTCTGGCTGGAAATATCTTCAAAATCTGAATAAAACTACATAGACCAAATGTGTTATTAGACAGGAAAACTAGTAACATACCTCAGGACAGCCATGTGACTCTCTGCTTCTGTGTTCAAGGCTTAAATAATTTAAAAAAAAAAGTGTTTATTTAAATGAAATCAAACAGTGTACTTAAAGATAACGGCAGTAATTTGAGATGTTTTCATGGTTAGTATCCTTAAGATTAATCACACTTACACTACATTAAAAACTCTCTATGTGAGAATAAACTGAAGTGCCTGATAAAGATAGAGTGGCTACAGTCTCCAAAGTTTGAAAACCGCAACTGTTTAACTTCAATATGAGGAAAACTAATTCACCACTCTAAATTGCCTTCACTTTGAGTGCTTTGAGGTGTACAAAAAGACATACAAAAGAACCTTTTTATTCCTTTTATTTCTCAAAGACCATCAATAATAAAATGTCAAAGGAGCGTTCTAGCTCTGAATGATTTAACACATGCATTACTTCTCTTTACTTCTAATAAATCTTTCTCAATTATCTTCTGAAAAGAATTTGTTCTTTCAGTGCTGTATTTAATAAATTAAATGCCTGATACATGAGTTTAATCACAAAGAAAATACATTTCTCAAAATCCTCGGTTAGTTCCCAGGGTTTTACTTTGAATGTTATGTGTGTACAAAGGACATGTGATAGCTAATTTAAGAAATGTATAGATTGGGCTCTTCTCATTTTATTAATTAAAAAAAAAGCAACAAGGGGACGGCCGAGTGGCGCGTTGGTTAAGAGCTGGCTTGGGACGCCAGTGGGTTCGGATCCCACATATGAGGGCCAGTGACACT